CACTTTGCTTTTCTTAGATAATAATCTTGACCATGCCAAAAACCTCAAATGGCTTCTGTCCTGCTTTGAGCAGATCTCTGGCATGAGAATCAATTTTCATAAGTGTGACCTGGTCCCTATCAATATAGATAGAGATGAGGCTCTTATTTTTGCTCAAACCTTGGGGTGCAAATTAAGTGCTTTCCCTATTAAGTACTTAGGGGCCCCTTTGCATTTTAGTAAAATTAGGAAGGAAGATCTCCAACCCACTATTGATAAGATTATCAAGAAAGCTACTGGGTGGAGGGGGAGACTTCTTTCTTTTGGCAAAAGACTTATTTTAGTCCAAGCCTGCTTAGCTAGTATTCCTTCTTACCTCATGGGTTTCATTAAATTTCCTAAGTGGGCCATTAAACTCATAAATTCCCAACTAGCTCATTGCTTTTGGGATGATTATGAGGGTCACCACAAATATCACCTGACTGCCTGGAAGTCTATTACCATGAGAAAAGAATTTGGGGGTTTTGGGATTACTGACATTAGGGACATGAATTTGGCTTTATTAGCCTCTTGGGTTAGCAGATATTATAACTCAGAGGGTAAAATCTGGAAAATATATTGATTCCAAATATAAACCTCAAAGTAATATATTTGCTTGCCCAAATACTAGAGCATCTCCTTTTTGGAAAGGGGTGCTCTGGGCAGCTCAAGCTGCCAAAGTTGGCTTTTCTTGGAAAATTGGTAATGACAAAAGGATCAGATTCTGGGAGGACCATTGGTTTGGAAATGCCACCTTGGCTACCCAGTATTGGGACCTATATGTTCTTGCTTATGAGCATAATGCCACCATTGATAAAATTTGGGACGGTAGTAACCTTAAAATTACTTTCCGGAGATGTTTCACTCAGGAGCTTATGTCTCTGTGGTTCGAGCTCTTGGAAATAGCCAGTTCTATTCATCTCACTATAGAGGATGACTCCCCTGTCTGGAATATGAATTCCAAAGGGGTATACTCTGTTAAATCCTTTTATAAGTTCATAAATTTCAGAGGTGTGTTGCCTAGTAGTTCCCCTGCCATTTGGAAGATCAAAATTCCTCCTAGAATTCAGATCTTTCTCTGGCTCTTGACTAATAACAAGTTGTTAACCAGAGATAATTTGTCCAAAAGGCAGGAGGTAGGCGATTCCACCTGTGTTTTTTGCACTGAAGAAGAAACTTGTTCTCATTTATTTAGTACCTGTGTCGTTGCTAATGAATTCTGAAAAACCTTATGTATCCTGACTGGGATTGATGAAGAGATCAATATAATGTCCATCTCCCAGTACTGGATCAGAGGAGATAGCTTTGTTGTAACTAATATTGTCCATGCAGCTGGACTTTGGGCTATCTGGAAAATTCGCAATGACATGGTTTTCAACAATGTTGTTTGGTCTGGATTACAGGGTATCTGGCGAAAAACTGCGTCAAATCTGTCTACATGGGAGTGCCTGTCCTCAGGGTGTGCCAGAGACAGGGTGGTGTGGGCTGCGAAAGAACTGGAGATGAAAGCGAGAAGCCCACCTCTGCGAATGTGGCCAGATCCTGGATGAGGCGTGGAGATACATTTTGAAGCCATTTCCTCTAAAGGCTGCTGTTGTCTCTTAGAGGGATCGCTTGGTGTTTCTCTTGTCGCTGTCTAGGCTATGGCGTTTTGTCCCAGCGTTCTTTATTTTCTGTTTTAGTTCAAACTTTTAGTTTGGTAGCTTTTTCTGCTTCCTCTGTGGCAGCCTTCCTGCTGTCCGCCGTTTGCCTAAATTGTAAGACGATCCTGTAACTGTTGTTTTGTTTCTTCAAGAAATGGAATAGGGGCGCGGCCCTTTTCCTCTATTTTTTTTTGCAGTGCATAGGCCATTATTGTGCGTCCAGAGCAGCATGACCATCTTCCCACCACTCCCATGCCACCAACTCCGGCGTGGCCGCAGCTTCGTTGGTGAACTCGTCTTTAGAGAAAAAAGCGACAACTTGTGCTACTTATGGATGGAATCTACCCACGAGAAAGCCACGGTGCGCGTACACATGTTACAAGATGGTGTGTGGTGCATGCATACCTCGGGCATGACAGAGGTCCATGGTATACCACGGAACACGAAACTTGTGTTGGTCGACAATAAAGTATATACATGTTCCGGAAGCTACGTTCTTGCCTTTGATTTGAAGACCGCAAATTTCTCAAAAATTCAGTACCCATTAGGGGTGGAATTTCATGAGATGATCATGTTGTCATGGGCTGATGGTGGTGATAATGATGATGATTCTGGTGTATATCTCATTCATGCTCCTCCTGATGGTGGTGATAATGATGATGATTCTGGTGTATATCTCATTCATGCTGAGGAGCTTCAACTTGACATCTGGCTCCACAAGGGGCATAATTGGCTGCTGGTGGACACCATTTGTTTGCATGAGATGTATGCCGATTCGAGGATGCTACATCACATCCTTGCGTTCGCGCATAACACTGATGTGAAGATAATCCAAGTTGGAGCCAACGCTGAGTTTGTGTTCTTGCAGATGGGAGAATTCATACTATCCTTGGATATTAAGGCCAGGACGTTGCACAAAGCATATGAGATGATGACGAAAGAGCAAGATATTGGGCATTAGATTCATCCTTTTAGAATGATCTGGCCACCCACATTCCCTGTGCTCAAGGATGATCCGACAAGGTTTGACTTTTTTCCTCCGGATGATATGTTTTTTACTACATTTGTTTCTGTGTGGTCATAATAGAAGTTGTTTAGGTGAGTTACCATAGAGGATAAATATTCTTGTAACAGTTATGTGGGCCTTAGCAGACAATACTCGGAAATCAGATTTTGAACATATGATTCAAGCTATAGGCCTTCCATGATTTGTAGACATGGGGTCATATAAGAACATAAATAAACAAGGAACAGCACAAAAGAAAAGAAGAAAGGAAAATTTAGTTTCATAGTGATGCTCGTAATAGAATGAATTTTGCGAGCGCTGCTCCCGCAGATTTCAATTATGAATCACAATAGTCACACCGGCATCCGTGTGGGCTAGTCACGATAGATCCTGCCATGCTCAGTTATCTCCATGCTGATGTTCACTCTGTTTTGCATGCAACAGATACACCGTGCGAAGATTGCAAAGATCATGAGACGTGTTTCTTTTCCTATAAAAGGTTTTGGAGTCAATGACAAGTTGATTGGGCAACAGTTTTAGATGCTATACATGTGTAACTGGCTCAGGTGCTCCACTTGCGATTGCAAAGATCATGAGACGTGTTTCCTAGAAAAGGTTTTATGTTTGCAAAGACCTGTGTTGCAACTCAGCTGGTCCACTGCCTGGCATCTATTTATGTTAATACTCTGTTCGACAATGTGCAGTTTTTTTTTTAAAACACGGTACAATCGAAGTCACTCACATATATTCACCCCTATGAATGAAGGCAACCCTACCCCTATGAGCACCTTCAAGAAACTGAGCCGACACATCATCTTGAGATTACCGAAGTAGCCTCAGACACCTTCATCATAGTTGACTTCTCCTCCCACTGAACACACATCATCAGAAATCATGAAATAAATTTAGAAAAATGCGAGCACCAATATCAAGTCTAGAACTTGAACTCTGATGGGCTAGGGATACTATTGTCCCAATCTAAGGTCACGATATTTCTACATACAACAAAAGAAAGAGGAAAATACACTTTCGTTATGATAGTTACGTCAGCAGCACTCAAATTGCTTTGCTCAGCGGCCTTTGTCATTGTATGATATGTACATCAGAATATATTTCTTGCTCATTTATTTATTTCTTGTCATTCTTATGACAGAATACGTTTTTAAATTTCTTTTCACAGAATAAAATAACACGAATAAAGTCTTAATAACTTTGTTGTCTCCATGAACAAAATCATATATTCTAAGACTACAGAGAGTTTCAAAATCGCAAAATGGCAAATCATACTCTCTCTGTGCATTTACTGTGTCATATTTGGTAATTTGGACAGGAGAGAACAAGTACCAGCATATACTCCCTCCGTTCCTTGATATAAGGTGTATAGATTTTTGAGAAAAAAATCCAAAATATAAGGTGCATTGCGTCACACCATTCGTTTGGATAAGTTTTTTTAGGGATTTGATTACATTTACTTATATTATGCCAGCTCCTCTATTTTATCATGTCAATTAGTCAGGTGTAATCTCGCCCAAAACTTGTGAAATTTTCACTATACATGCGTTCTTTAATTTTCGTGCCAAAAACTGTACACCCTATATTTAGAAATGGAGGGAATATATAGCTAGCTCCATTCAGTATATATATAGCTAGCTCCATCCAGTAGGAAAATGACAAGAAAATAAATAAATATTATTATGTGTTCCACTACCACAATCTGAGGACACAATATGTCCATATACATAAGAGGAAAAGTGTACTTTGACTGTGATGGCTAGTTAGCTACGTCAGCCGCACCAGAATTGCATAGCTCAGCCTCTACTCACAGGCACAAGAACAATATGCTAATTAGCTACGGCAGAATATGTTTCTTATTCTTTTTTTTTACGAAAGAATATGTTCCTTATTGCTCTTGGAGAAGTAATATAACAGTAAATAAAGCAGTTATCACTTTGCTGTCTTTGCCAAGAAATCATAGGCAAAACAAGATCGCCGAGAATTTTTCGATGAAATGCAAACGAAATTGCAAGACATCGGTACTAGGAAAGAAAATGTCCAAAATTACAAAGTTCTTGAGAAGGAAGAAGTGCCATTCGACCCGTGATCGCATATAATTTTTCCATATGCAGCTACCAAAGAGCATTGGCAGCTGTATGCTAAATGAGCTCTCTGCTCATTTACTAGCTTGGACATCAGTCAACAGTACCAGCTAGGAACAACCTTATATATAACATATATAGCTAGCTGCATCCAGCGGTTAAGTAAAATGGCAAGAAAAACTATAAATTATGTTTTACATTGCAGCAACCGGATCCAAGGGTGTAATCTCAACAGTTTCATGGCTTGTCGTCAGCTTGTTCGTTGACTTGCTTGTTAGTGGTAGTGGTACAAGACGCGGATGCTCCATCCCTCTTTTTTCCCCACAGCAAAAGATAGAGCCCGAGTATCATCAGTACAGATCCTAGCACGCTGTACATGCACGCCGATGTAACGATAATCAACACGCATAAATATGTATAAATTTTCATTACAACTCAATTGCGGAAACAATTAACTTTGTTTATCTCCAGCAGCAACAGCAATTCAGTTGGCAACAATGTATACATGAAACTTCGGCAATGACAATGATCATCACAAAAGGACAGGGAGGCATGAAACTGAGAAGAAGTATATATGTATTACCTTCCAAGGTAGATTTGTTCATGGAGGAAGAAGAAATCGATGATGGCTACCATGATCTGCATCATGGGGATGAAGGCTGCGGTGAAGACCGGGCCCTTCTTCTCCACGCACCATGTCATTATCAGGTACCCAGCTCCAGATCCGACTATCCCCTGCACATGTAATAATTTCATTGTATGATTAACAATATGTTAAGTACTTAATATCTATTATTATTTTCACCACCACGTACTTTGGGTTTCAGTTGTTCAAGTTGGTCAAAGTAGCTGGCGTGTATTGATTGCATATATAGACTAGTGTTAGCTGCAAGATAATTAAAGCAATGGCTTTTATAAGTAGTTGCCCCTTTTGGATAAGTGGTTCCTGTTTTCTTCTCTTTGTGAAGGTGGTACGTACAAGTCAAGGAGATGAAGAAGATGATGGTAATGTTTAGCTTACTGCATACAAGACGGTAACGATCTCCAGCTTGCTGGTCAGCATCCACAGCGACACGTGTCTCTCCATCGCCAACGTCACCGCCCCGCCCTGCAGAGTGCTGATGAAGAACATGATGGCAGTATTGGAGTAGATGGCCGGGTACTTCTTGGTCAGCTTTGTCTGCAGTAGCAGCCAGAAGGAGAAGCACAGGCAGTTGAACAGCAACGCGATGGTGCCCAGCATCCAGCTCCTGTTGCCACTGCTGTCAGAGGGTGCTGCATGGTGAGCAGCTGGGCTAGGTGCAGAAGTGGCGGCCTGGTGCGTCAGCGGCACACCCTTGTAGAGACTCAGCAGCAGCAAGCCGGCCAGCGATGTGAGCGTTCCGGTGATCTTTGCAGCTCCCGCCATGCTCTTCAACTTCAGCGGCTCCATCCTCATCACGACGGCGATGAGGAAGGTGAGCACAGGAGAGAGGTTGATGAAGGTTATAGCAAAGGTGGCGGTGGTGTACTGCAGGCCATAGAAGAAGGTGTACTGCGAGAGCGCCGCGCCAAACACGGCGCTGAAGAAGAGGTACGCCAGGATCTCCAATGTGAGCTTGGGCCTCGTGTTCCTGCAGGAATGTCGTGGCGCTATGCAGTTTCAGTCACCCAGGGAATGAATGCAGATTGTTTGTACAAGGATGCATACCGTTCTTTGAAAAAGGCTATTGGAGCAAGGAAGATGGTGGCGACCAGCTGCCGGAGGGTGACGAGGACCAGGCGGTTCAGCCCTTGCTCCAGAGCCTTCTTCACCAGCGCCGTCATCACAGCAGAGATGAGGTCGAAGGCCAGCATTCCCATCACCGGCTTCCACTCCTGCGCCCACATTGTAAGATTGCCGCTACAAGATGACTGATACGCTCATTAACTGTCTGATGATTATATATAGCCCTGCAATGCTACTCACTGACCAAAAGTGACGGCCGTCATTCATGCAACGGGGGCAAAAAAGTAAATGCTAATATGCTATCAACATAATAAATTATTTCCTTTGCTTCTCTTGTGACAACTTACTCGCACTACTGAAGATTTTTAATAATAATCTATAAAATGGCATATCAGTAGACAGTAGGAATCAAATTGGTAGTGCAAACGTGAAAGTAAAATATATGTCCTGATTCAGCCCCTTACCTTTTCTGGTGCCCCGACCAAAATTACATAAGATGCCAAGAAAGTGGAGAAAGGACGGAAGCACTGAGACTGCAGAAACTCCTTTTTATGTATGTGGACTAGTCGCCTCACTTCCTAACATAAAGAAAACTTCCAAAAGAACCTAATACTTGCCATTAGTACAAAAGGTGACCTGGTATATGTCAACCAGCAATGCTATCCTTGAGTCAGCAATACTATGACAAGATGCAGTGAATTGCTCAACTCAAACACCACTACTGACCATTCACCTTTGTGCTTGTTAGTGTGATTTTACTCCTGCTCAACTGTCATTTTCGATGACAAATTAGGGCTAGTTTTGCATTCCAATGAAGGCAGTAAAACCAACCAACGAGTGTTTTCTGTAATCATTTGGTACACTGTTGAATACCAGACAAGGAAGGCAACCTCACCAGGCACCACACTACCAGAAAGTAAAGTGCACAATGATCACAAATATGACACTGACTTATTCAAAGTTGTAGCAACGTACATAGAGCATGGGCCAGGGCAGATAGTTGGAACATTTATGGTCATTCTTGACATCCCCACTAACTACTAGGAATGCCCTTTCTATACTTCACAAATTTTCCTGTGTCTCCTTATCTTCTTCCAGTCCTTTCTCTGATAAAATGGCAGCTGACGATGCTTCCTTGCTCTTCCCCCAGAGCAGAAGATAGAGGCCTCCAATGACAAGAGCAGCACCTACCACACTTCAAGGACAAAAAGAGAAACAAAAGTGTGACTTTTCTGTTGTTTTGCCGAAGTTCTATGTCCTAAAGCAAAGTTGTTGTTTGGCTGATAGTTCTGTACGCAACTTTGCAATATGTCAATTGTTAGTCCGTTGGTGAGAGTCGATGTTGATAGGTATTTTTACACTTGCAACATTTATGAAACATGTCAATTCTTAGTCCTTGTAGGTGATAAGTCATAGTACAAGTGTACAACGATATTTGGATCAGAATTTTAGTTCAGAGATTTTTTTATATCTAATTAGGACACATGATCTGTACTAGACTTTGAGAAAGTAAACGGCTAACTTAATAAGCATGATATTTCACATGATGTGCTACTGAACAACTAAATAGAGTTTATTCTTATTTTTCACATTTCTCTGTCATGCAGTTTCTCTCCTAAACTTCAGTAAAAGCCAATACCTTCCCACGTAAAGCTGTTCATGAAGGACGAGGAGATCAAGGACTCCAGCAATGATCTGAATGAGAGGCAAGAAGCCTGCAGTGAACACCGGCCCTCTCTTCTCGATGCACCAGGTCATCAGCACATACCCTATCCCCGATACTCCCACTCCCTGTAAAGCAAAAGTGCAAAGCTTCAGTATACATTACTCTGAACTTGAACCATTCTTTGTGTCGGAATTCCTGTTCTAACTGAATTTACAGTTCTTTTCACCGGATCAAGGCATGCGTCTAACTCGTGGGGCCATGTGTTCATAACTATCAGAGACATGAAGAATAGTAAGGTCTCCTTACATTACCAAATCCAACCCCAAACATATAGGATAATATAAGCAAGACTGCTAGACTGTTAAACCGTTTTGTCTAGACAAGTGGGATCAAATAGCTATACTCGAAAAAGAAAAGATTACTTGGTGGTCTTTTTATAGATAACAGAAGATTTTATTGATTCTTTACAGGTTGGTGGTATCTGAGATATATCTTACGTACCGCGAAAAGAACGGTTGCAATCTGTATACTTCCTCGGAGCAGCCAAACTGAGAGGTGCCTTTGGGTGGTGACTGCCAGTGCCCCTGCTTGCAGTGAGCTGATCAAGGCCATGAATGCAGTGCTGGAGATGACTGCAGGGTACTTCTTGGTGAGCTTCCCTTGCAGCAGCATCCATAATGAGAACGTGATGCAGTTCAGCAGCAGCAACGCCGAGCCCAGCAACCATCTTCCCTTGCTGCCACTGTTGCCCGTTGTGCTATTTTCACCGTGTTCTTGGGTCGAAGATGCTGTGTGAGTCAGGGCAGCACCCTTGTACAGGCTCAGCAGTATCGCACCACTGACAGACGCTAGTGTTCCTGCGATCTTCGCCAGACCCGCCTTGCTCCTCACATCTACTGTTTCCGACCTGTGTAACTAGTTTCAGTCTGGATGAACAGTTTGTGACTTGAAGCAATATGTCAATTATTAAGAAACTGACCGAAGAGGGACGGCGATCAGGAAGGTGAAGATTGGGGTCATATTGGAGACAGTTGCAGCCAGTGTTGCAGTGGTGTAGCTCAAGCCTAAGAAGAACAGATACTGAGCGAATAGTGCCCTGTATACAGTTACACACACATTCAGACAAAAAAAAAAGAAAACACTATTAATTTAAAGCACTCTTTTGAATTGTCTCCTCCATTGAACCTAGACAGAAGTACCATTACCCAATTAGGATTCTCCAAAAGAACAAAAACATTACCCAAGTAGCGCACTCATGAACAAGTAGGCAAAGATCTCCTTTGTGAATCTTGGTCTTGCATTCCTGAAATCAACTAAAAATAATTAGGAGAAATTTTCAGCGGCAATTTTCTAGATACTGAAATATACAGTAGTATACAACAACTAAACATTTAGAACACCAAGAGATACTTCTCAAGGTTCTGAAAACATCATGCAGTGCAACATCAGCTTAGTGGGAGCTTTTCAGATAAACATGCAGAGGACAGGATCATGCATGTAGCAGCATATCATCAGCATGAGTTTCCAGGTGCTAAACATCATACAAAAACAATTCAGCAACTGAACTCTGAAGGCTAAGATCTTCTCCACAAACCTTTCTTTGAAGTAGGCAATCGGCGCCAGGAAAGCTGCGCCGACAAGCTGCCGAAGAGCGATAAGAACGACAGGGTTCAGGCCGTCATCAAGCGCCTTCTTCACCAGCACGGTCATCACAGCGAAGAACGTGTCGAAGGCGATCATGGCCGCCACTGGCTTCAGTAGCTCCATCCACCCCATTGATTCTGCACAAACCAGAGAGGTGTCCTGTCACTGGTCTTAGGTGGTGGGCACTAACTATCCATGCAGCATCGTCGATCCTATCTGTCCTATAGTATGCACAATATATACAAGCATTGCCTGTGCATGTGGTGATGTGAAAGAGCATTATCAGGGGTCATGTCACTAGCTTTATTTGTAAGAGGGCAATGCTAATTCTAATACTAAAGTTAATGCTAAAAATTGTTAAATGGAGCAGGCAGGGAGGATACATAAAGGCAAGGTGAGTGGAGGAATGGTACAAAGTGCATGCATGACTACTGGTTTAGATGGTTAGTGGAATAAACAAGGAATAGTTGAGGGCACTAGATGCTGGGTGCCTATATGTAGGGTTACTGCACTGCAGTTAGATCACCTACTAGCTTTATGTGTGCTGCAGAGGAAGCACTGTGGATGAGGAATGGTGAGCAGAGTTGCCGTGTTGAAGAAGAACAGCACTACCAGTTTGTATGTTCCGAAATACATGGCATCACGTCGAAGAGCTGCACACTGCTAACTAGAACACAACTACCAAAAGGAGAAGATGTGTCGCAACGCAGGTAGATTGGACTCTGAACATACAGATAGGTGTTTTCAAACATAAACATATAAGGATTCTCACAAACAGAGCAGAGGAGCAGCTGAACTAATTACATATAACATCCTAATCCAGTAGTGTCCAACAAACTTATGACTGGCTCAAAACAAAGCTCGCACATACTCTAAGATAGGCTTTGCTACGAAAGTTCTCTGATCTAAAGCCTTCCCAATATCCCCTGTTCCTCACATGGCGTCCCTGTTCCAAGCAAAAGAGAACAAGGATCAGGATGGGTGTAACTGAGCACGAACGAGGATCTGTGGAGATTTTAAAAAGTGGTTTTACAAACGGAGTCCAACGTAGGCAACACTACGCAGCACCCAAAAGCAAAAACAATAGAACAGTTCACGCAGAACATATATATAATAAATGCCTTGATATCCCTCCAAAGATACAAACTGGTCTTAGAGGGTCCCTCACCCAGGTACCTTACTTTTTGTCAGATTGGATTTATTATACACTACTTGTCATATAAGAGGAAAATCTTCACTCACACATATCTGAATGAGAAAGCATTCATAACCACGAGCATACGAATCATGTGAGAGGCAGTATGCTGAAAAGGATGCATAACCATGAGCATACGATTCATGCGATAGGCGGCGTGCTTCAGCATACTGCCATGAAACATTGATTCCGTTATACAACAGCATTCTGAAAATACAAATGATTGACACGTATATTAGCTTAAGGGACCCAGTTCAAAGGCCGATTCCCCCACCATGCTCCACAGCTTGCCGATCATACAGTCATGCACAGGGGACACCCCTATTATGAATGTTTCTCGTCAAATAAAAAATTATATTGAAACAACACAAAACAAACATCATCCTAGTGATCGAAGAACAATTAGTTCTACAGGCACACCTTCACAATATAACACTGACATTCTGTCATTTTTTTTTTTGCTACACATGATCGCAGTCAGTGACTCAAATGTCTCCAATCAGAGACAAAAAATAAACCTCCTAGATTTTCAAGTTATTTGAGATTCACTTTATGTATCATGTGCATATGAGAGGCTCAAGGAATACAATGAAGAAACATCTGGTATCTAACTCAAAGGTATGGTTTCTGGAAATGTAAAGAAATAAAACAGTTCAGAAATTAATCATATTCTTGCACTACATCATCTTATAAATTAAGTAACCAAGCAAAAAAAAAATACACACGGTCAAATCATAAATTTCCACCTCATCTGGTCAAGGGCACCTGGTCAATCAACATAGCACATTAGCAGATCGCACGTGCTCAGAGTTTCAAATCCAGCCATTTCCACCCAACTCCCCTGCCTACAGGCAAAATAAGGCAAATAAACCAATGAAAATTCAAGGAACGCTACAATTTTTGTGACAAGGCCACTACATGAAGCCAAATTTATTGCCAAGTGGAAGAAAGAATGGCAATAATCCTTTAACATAGTTCAGAGAAACACATACTGAAGCCCTTAATCACATACACATTAATACAGAAGCACATACTGATAGTGTTTGGATGAATCATGTTATGCACAAGGTACAGATGTATTACCTGCAGTATAGAAATTTCTGTAGGCATAATGGATGGCATTATCCCAGCCATTTCTTTCAGAAATTCTTCTGAACCGCATTGACTCAAGTAGGAGCACGAAGTCGCCAAAAAACGTAGCCAGAACAACCACATTTGACATCAGCATCAGCACACAGCACCGCGGCGTGCCATATCCACAAACCCTCCCCTCGGAGCTGCAGAGCCCCGGTGGAAAAGGCACGCGGTGCTGCTGGCCGGCCAGGGGATCCCAGACGACGACCTCGCGCCGACACACATTGAGCATGCCGGCAAGGCCGTGGCAGTAGCCGAGGAATTGCCAGCGCCCATGAATGGTGCAGCTCTTGGGCACGGCGAAGCGCACCGGGGGGATGCGGTCGTGCTTCTTGCAAGGGAGAGGGACGAATTCGTGCCTCATGCCGTACCCCCACCTTGTCATGAAGCCGAGGAGCGGGCGCCTCCGGTGGTGCCTGCCGTAGCGGCCGAGGAATGCCGCGCCAGCGCTTGCAGACGAGGGATGCGCGGGGGAAGGCGGAAGGCTTCGGAGGGAGGCGGAGGAGGATCTCCTGGATGGCGGCGGCGGCGGCGGCGGCACATCTGAGCAAAATCTGGAGCTTTTTCTCTGTCTGACAGTAGCTAAGGCCGCGGGAATCCCGGCGCGGAACTGCGCCCAACACCAGCTCCTGGACGCGGCCTCCCCGGCGCGGCCACCGGCGCGGGCAGCGCCGAAGCGGTCCTGCGGGCGGCGGGATCGGCCCCGCGCGGGAGTTGGGGCAGAGGGCGGACGCGAGGCAGGCCGGGGGGAGGGGCAGGCGCGTGGAGCGGTGGGAGGTCGGAGCGAAGGCGGCCGGGCGCCGGTAAGGGCGAGGATTATCTTTTATCTTTTTTCGCTTCCAATGTGTAAAGAATACTAATTCCACACAGGGGGTAGAATGGTCTTTTCAGTTTGCGATTAGAGTGTCACCTTTTTTCTCAGGTTTCCCAATGTGTTTCTCAAATTATTCTTCTTTCATATGCATGGCACTCAGCTATTTATTTGCTACTATGGCACTTCCATCGATTTTGGATACTAACCATGTTAAGTGGGACTTGGAAATACGTTTTTGCCCTTGGTGCATTTGTGTGACCAAAACGTCATAGGAATATAAAAAGTAGTGAGCTAGAGGGCTGAACTGTGAAGTTTGGATAACCGGAGGGCTGAAATGGAAATTATGGGGAAATTTTTGTGGATAAAAAGGAATGAAAGGACCAAAATGAAACAATAATGACAAGATGAGGTTTCCTATCCACTCCCCCTTTGTGTTACAAATCGATCTATTTGTTTCTAATAGGCCATTATCGTTGTCAGGAGCCAAGAGGGCATCCCTTGAACGATCAAGTAGTTCTGCCTAGCAAAAAAATCAAGTATTTCTGAAATTCTTTCAAGCCTAAAGCTCCATCAGCGCACTTATCAAATTATAACTCAGCATGAGTAGTAGTCACATCAATCAACTACAAAGAACAAAGAAAACTCAAATTGTACCAGTTGTGGTATCCGCCTTGACAGTACCCGCAAGCAATCCAATGTTCATTAAGACATGGTTAAGACATTTTGCACATAATCCCAGGCAAACAAACACTAGCCATGCGTTGCCCACCAACTTATCCACCGCTACCACACAGTGTTAGCTTATGTCCAGGTCAACGAGTTTTGAACTTAAATAAGAAAGTTATGCACTTCTAATTGAAGTGTTCTTCTAAAGATGTTAAAATGGTATGCATGAGAAGATCTTACGTGCAAGGTGTTTTTCTATTATATCTGCAAGGTGATCTTTCTTGAAAAACTTACTTAACACAAGTGTTGGAAATGGTAATCCTAAACTCGAAGAGCACATTTTAATGCAATTCAGAACAAGAAAATTGCGATGGTAGATCTAGAATTAGACTGACTTGAAAATGTATAATCAATTCTTGAATTAAATACTCGCATCTATAATATGGCACAATGTATACACACTCAAAACAAAAAAGAAGCATCAGGACACTTTAAAAGCTCATTCCATTGCTTTAATTCTATATGAATCTGATAGGGGATGTGAGAAAGCATTATCATGGTTGTGCACCAATGGTAAACTTCCCAAAATTTCTTTTGCAAGCCGAATCCTTCTCCGAGGTCTTGTACTCTTGGTAGGTACCTACATGCTTATTTGCCAACACCTTGTTGTCTGCCTGCCTGATGGTGCATTCTGTGACTCTGAAGCCAGCTGAGATGTATTCTGTAGATAGGAAACTAGCGCCAGCATACACGTTCCTCAAACTGTCAATTAAATGTTGTAAGGTATCAGTTGAACTGAAATGTCCATGGGTTAAATGTGAGAAAAGGGAAACTTTTGATACATGTGTCACACTACCTTCTATTCGTTTAGCTGAAGGTTCTAAAGTTGGTGGCGCATAAGCCTTAGGTCGTTGCGTCAATTAATTCATACTACATATGTGAACACCCAAAAATCATGGTGTAGGACTGGTAGTATTAGTACATTTTTATCTCTGGGTGGTGTTGATATAGTTTTTGTAGCAAACAAATATGCTAAAATTGATAATGTTTAGTGGAAATAATGAACACATCCTAGTAGTAAACTAAGTAATTCCATCATTGTAAGATCACTGGACCGACAAAAAAACAAACAACTGAATTTTGTACTTATATACCTATTCGATTTTTAACTACGGGAACAATAATACAACAATCATGTGCCCCTTTATGACCCTAAAGAAATTGATACGATACTCAGACAAAGAAAACCGATAGGATATTTGTTGCTTGTGCAATGTAGATATTACCTGTAGTATAGAAATTTGTGTAGGGATAAAAGGTCTC